CACTCTAGCCTTCTTTTCTTCCAAACTGAAACTGTGTATCCATTAGAAAATAACTCCCCATTCCTCCCCACCCCACAGCCCATGGCATACTCTATTCTACCCTTTTTATGTTTTTTCAGACAGAGTCTTTGTTTTGTTGCTCTTGGTAGAGTGCAGTGGCCATCATCATAGCTACGCTGCAACCTCAAACTCCGGGCTCATGCGATCTTCTTCCTCACCTCCTGTGTAGGCTGGGACTAAGGTGCATTGTCACGGATGCCCGGGCGAATTTTTCTATTTTTAGTAGAGATGGGGTCTCGCTCTTGCTCAGGCTGGTCTTGAACTTTTGAGCTCAAGCAATCCTTCCACCTTGGCCTCCCAGAGTGCTAAGATTACAGGCGTGAGCCACTGTGCCAGCCTATCCTACTTTCTATCTCTATGAATTTGACTATTCTAGGTACTGCATGTAAGTTGAATCATATGGTATTTGGCTTTTTGTGATTAGCTTATTTCACTTAGCTTAATACCCTCAAGATTAATCCATGCTGTATGTGTCAGAATTTCCTTCCCTTTAAGGTTGAATAATATTCCGTTGTATGTATATACCACGTTGTGCTTATTGTTTATCTGTTGATAAACATTTGGATTGCTTCTTCTTTTTTGCTGCTGTGAATATACAGTATTGCTACTATGAACATGTATGTGAAATATGTGTTTTGAGTCCCTGCATTCAATTTTTTGTATATATAGGCAGAAGTAGAATTGCTGGCTCGTCCGGTAATTCTGTGTTTTAATTTTTTGAGGAACTGCCATATTGTTCTTCACAGTGGCTGTGCCATTTTACATTCCCACCAGTGGTGAACAAGGGTTTCAGTATTTTCACATCCTTGCCAACAATTTTTGTTTTCTATTTTTTGATGGTAGCCATCCTAATAGGTGTTGGTGGCTGATTTGGTTTCCTTTTAATCAACATGATACTTCCACATTTACATTTTGTAAAATGTTAATGATGGAAATACGTGGTAGATGCTGATGTCTCCATTTCTGTGTGGGATATTTCCAGACACATGCTTCTGTTTTCACGTAAGTAGCCCCAAGTGCTCCAACATGGATTTTTCCCATGGTACTGGGGCATTGTGAGATTTAGTGCCATTTGGGTTATCAAGGGAAAATGAAATAGTGTTCCAGTTACTTTTGTATTATTTTAGAGCAGGAGTTGGCAAACATTTTTTCTAAAGGGCCAGATAGTAAATATTTTAGGCTTTGTTGGCCACATACATTCTCTTGGAACTACTCAGTTCTGTCATTGTACTGCAAAACCAGTCACAGACAATATGTAAATAAATGGGCTTCCTATATTCCAATAAAACTTTATTTACAAAAACAAGCGGTGGACTAGATTCACCCTATAAGCCATGGTTTGCCAACCCCTATCTCTAGGATATTCTGGTTTTTTAATTGCTGGACGTAAGGATCCAAGACACATGGGATCTCAGAATTGGGATGGATCTTGACAATCTCAAGTCTGAGACCTCCAGATCTGGCCATGAACCTCCTTATACCATAGGTAACACTGTGCATGTATATTCTTTTTTGTTTTTTTGTGAGAGAGTTCATTGTACTTTATCAAATTCTCAAGAGGTTAATAATCTACAAAAAATTTGGAACTACTTGATCCAAGATTGTACAGGGAAGGAAGGTCAAGGCCTAGGAAAGTTGCTATGGGATTTCCCGGTCAGGCAGTGACAGAGCTTATCCTTGAATCCAAGTCTCCTGCCTCTGAAGCCTTTGCTTTTCTCTTTTTTTGAGACAGAGTCTCACTCTGTTGCCTGGGCTACAGTGCCGTGGCATCAGCCTAGCTCACAGCAACCTTAGACTCTTGGGCTCAAGGGATCCTTCTGCCTCAGCCTCCCGAGTAGCTGGGACTACAGGCACGCGCTATCATGCCTGGCCAATTTTTTATATTTTTAGTTGTTTGGCTAATTTCTTTTATTTATAGTAGAGATGGGGGTCTTCGCTCTTGGCTCAGGCTGGTCTCGAACTCCTTTTTGCTCAAGCATCCTCCTGCCTCGGCCTTCCCAGGAGTTTGCTAGGATTTACAGGGGTGAGCACCGCGACCAGGCCCCTTTGCTTTTTCTTCTATTACTATTTTTTTAAATTAATTCTCAGAATTATTTAACTACATCAGCTTATTCTCTGACATAATCAAATGTCTAGAGATTGATTTGCTCTTTTTACCAGTTCAGCTCATGATTTGAGAGACCCTAACAGCAGTCCCAAGGATTCATGCCTTTCTCTATTCCCTTTCAAGGCTGGAGCAAATATGCCTTTCTTGGCTAGGATTAATCAGACTTCAGATTAATTCTTTTCTGTAATTCCTTACTGAATAAAACTGGGTATTGCACGATTATGAATTCATTACTTATGTATGAGGAACCGAAGGACAAAGTCTAACATTTGTGGTTGATGTATTAGGCCGTTACCGGTATGAACAAGTGCTCTGCAGGGGGTGGCCAGAAAAGCTGCCAGGAGATAACTCTCCAGCAGGGTTAAGGACATTCTTCCTTTTTTTTGCACATGATCCTGGAGTCCAGCAACTTGTGTCCCAGCAGCTGCGGCTGTTACGAGCAAACTGCAACACGTTTGACAGTTGGTAGGACTCTGCAGTCATAACGAGCATTCAATCCCTGAACTATGCGATCGCTGGGCCGGGTTCAGGGTTACTGTTTACTGCTTGTGGTTACAGCCGACTAAGCTAGGCCCATGACTCCTTGGTAATTGAGAGCTAAAATGATTTCCTTGAAGTACGTCATCAAGTATTAGTAACAGCTATGTTTAATGCAATTAGGAACATGTCCCATCCTCTTAAAAAGCCACCGATGGCTCTCAGGTTAAGAAAGACTACTGAACATCCCAAACGATTCCTTGAAGGCCTGAGAGCCACCAGAAGGTGTGGCATAGATTAGTCTTGCTGGAACTTAAAAAGGACCCTGAATAACACTCGGTGGCTGCCATCAGAA